TGACATATATTTGGCATCTCTAATCTGAAAAATCCAAAATATGGAATTTTAAAAATCTAATACTACACTTGAAAAGTTCAACACCTCATGTGACAGACTGCAGTCAAATGTAGGTGCACTAAAAATATTGTATAAATTTACTTTCAGCCTATGTGAATGAGGAATATGTAAAACAGTAACAGACATCTTGTTTACACTTGGGTTCCATCCCCAGTATGTCTCAGTGTGTTTATGCAAATATACCAAAATGCAAAAGTATTCTGAATTCCAAAGCACTTCTGGTCTTAATTTTTCAGAGAAGGGGTACTTAATCTGTATTATTTTTAACTTTATGTTTCCAGTAAACTATAAAGAAAGTAGTATTTATTGTTAAAACGAAAGGTAGAATCACTAAGACAACTTTGGAAGACATGTATTTCACATACAAGTAAATGAAGTACAATGTGGACCAGTGTTTAGTTTTTAGCAGACAGTGGAAGATAAAGGAAATGAATTGTTTTGTATTGATAATCTTTTCCTCCCAGTATTTTATTATGAAAATTTTCAAACATACTGAATTTGAAAGAATTGTAAACATCAATAAAGCCACTACCCCACTCAGTGCTAATATTTTGCTGCATTTACTTTTTGTGTTGCTTTATCTGATACTCATCTATCCACTATTCTAACCATTTTATTTTTTATCCATTTCAAAGTCAATTATATTGAGCATTATATTTTACAATTATCCACTCAAAGTTGCATATCATTGTTATTATAGTCTTTTTTATTGAGAGCCACATGTACAAAACACTCTGCCTGAAGGTCTTAATATGAAACAGATTATTATAGACATCATAACGATAATTGCTAATATGATTATTAAAAGATACATCCAAGGGTGCATGTGCATTTTACCTTTTACAAATATTACATTGTGCTCTCGTAATGTAAAGTTTCATTTATACTGTGACAAGAGATATGTATTTAAGGTCTTTTCCATAAAAGTACAAAATATCAAAACTGTTGATATATTGACTCTCTTTTTCTTTAAGTTTGCTACTTACCAGTTAGTTTTACTTAGGAAACCAGCTAACTGGCAATCTCCTTGTTATCAGCTAACCCAAAAGAAAACCTCAAGAAAATGCAGGTTTCTGATAAATGTATTAATGTAGCTGACATTTTCCTACCTGCTTATCAGAAACAAACATGTGGACACTGTTTGAAAATAGAAAGCGATAAAAATATGTGAGGAAAAAAATCTGTAACATTAGATAATTGAATGAGCTGATCCAAGTGAAATTAAATTGTTACCTACTTTATGGAGTGTGATCATTCTTCAGTATGTTTTTGATACTGTAAATTTATACTCAGCTTTCACAGATGATCGTAAAGGGCTTCAAATTAACATTTTTAGGTGAGAGTGTATTAGTAAAACATAAAAACCACAGACCTTTAGATAAAAGTCACTTATACATTTTAACTTATTAAATAGCATTTAGAACACCTGTAGCTTTTTACTTTTAATTTAGAAATATCAGCTATATTTTCTTAAGCAGACTATTGAATCAGAACACCCCAAAGCTTTCCAGCAGAGCTTTCCAGCTGATATCTGTCACACTGGTATGCCGCTAATGTGTGACAAGTATGATGAGATACTGTCTTGTCCAGTTGCACTTCTAGAGTCAGAAGCTGCTTATCACCCTTCCTCCTTTATCAGTTTATTCAGTATGCATTACAAATTGTTACTCTTTTTCTCTGTCTTCACAGAATAGTATCATGGGCATCATAGTCTGACTTTTTGGATATAAGTCTTGTAAAAGAAACCCAACATTATGTTTAACAAAGTTAATTTAAATCTTGAAAAGACAACTGTGTACAATTAGACTTAAATATATGGTTTTTCTTTTTGAAATTTTGGCCTTTTCTCCGATGAAAAGTTCAGGGTGCTTTTTTTTAAATGATAAAAATCTAAGAAGGCTTCTTTGATTTTCATAAGTATATTTCAGGGCCTTTTTAAAAGTTAAAAACATTCCTTTTTTTTTTTAATTGTAAAGTTTCTTAGGTGCCCACTTGTTCACCAAATGCTGCCTTTCTTCCAAGAAATCAAAGTGCTATAACAAAGTTTTTAACTAGGCGGAAACAGATCTTTTGAGTCACTTGATTGCTTTTTGAAAAACAGATTTAATGTTTTCCTATTTTGCCAGAATTTTTTTCATTGCAGTTTGCCTATAGTAAAGAATTCTACAGCCTTTAAAACCTAAGGTCTCTTTATTTTTTAATCACTTCCTTACATTAGAACTTACCTTGGGCCATATTACCTTCTTTATCCTGATACTTTTATGTTATCCACATTTTCCTACTAGTGGATTCCACTTTTCATTTAATCAATCAAGATAGTGAATATATGATGCCAAATTAGACAACAACAACAAAAAAGGACAGCTGAATGTAATGTCCAGATGAGTGATCCTCATCTAATTATCCCTATGCACAGGAATTATTAAGTCATTTACATATAACAATGCTATAGGCCAGTGATGGGGTGAACGTTTTAGAGTTTCGATGATATAAATAACCTGCTGCTATAGGCTTTGGGATTTAATTCCTTTAGGGAATCTCAAGTGAGAAGGGCTCTTAGGTGCTCAGTACAGGTTAGCTATTAATATGTACTTTGTTGCAAATGACAGAAATGCATATTCAAACTACAATAAAAGGACTTTTTGTTATGATTCTGACTTACTTTCTCTGCTAGTCTATTGGTTCTCCCTCTTCTTTGGCCATAGGGTCATACTAAGATTTCTAACTGAAATTTCAAAAGAATTTATTTTTTCTTAAAGGCTTATGGCTAAAAATTATAAGGTGTCTTGTATATTTTTAAGAATCCTAGCATATTTGGAATGTGGTAGTTGTTAGGATAGTTCTTTGCTTAGATGATTGTCTCTGAGATTTGTTTAAATATATAAAGAAAACATGTAGAAGCTATAGTCATGCTTTTATATCTATATAAGTTAGTTACACTGAACTAGTTCAGCAGGCCATATTCTAATAAAAGGTTTTTTGAGACAAGTTGCCAAAAGAAAAATAACAAACAAAAAGGGAATTTATAGGAATAGCCTGAAAGGATTTCAGTATCAGACTAAGGGTAGTTCAGGATGCAATCAAAGTAGCAAAAATGGTTAATTCAGAAAAGCAATGTGGGATTGGTGCCCTGACTCTATAGGGTAGCTATCCCTTCTTGTTGGAACAGTTCTACTTATTTCTTCTTCCTGCCAAGGATGTTAGGGGAAAGTATGTTGAAAGAAAATGAAAAGTGGAATTGGCTGCAGTCATAAGTATAAAACAGATATCCAAAGCCATTCTTACTGTGATCTTAAAAGATTATAAGAAGGATCTCCACATTGGAAAATGTTCTTCACTACAACCTATTAGTCTTAAGGCAATAGTATAAGACCTCAGACACATTTTAAAACCTACTTTTAAAATGCCTAAGCCAGACGTGGTGGCACATGCTTATAATTTCAGCGCTCTGTGAGGCTGAAGCAGGAGAATCATAAGTTTGAGCCCAGCCTGGTCAACTTAGCCACTTAATGAGACCCTGTCTCAAAACAAAAAAACTAAACTAAAATAAAATGGCTGGCAGCATAGGTCAGTGTGAAGAACCTGGGTTCAATCTCCAGTACCACCAAAATAAAGCAAAAACAAAAACAAAAATATGTGGTGTGTATATATAGGGCCCACCAAAAAAAATTATACACCAGGAAAAGAAAAACTTGTATAAATATTTTAATACTAAATTTATTGAGACATCATGAGATTAATACAAGTTACCTTTGGCCTTTACAGTTACAAGAGGTGCACAAAGTGGTGGCTGTTAGCTTCCAGACATTTATTAGTACAGTAAACTGTTGAAGTATGTATACATTTTTTGGCGGACTCTGTATACATATACACACTCAACACTAAGGTGACTTTCACAGAGATTTCAAAATTCTAAAATCTAATATTGAATGATCATCAAGATTATTGTTGAAAGATATATTAAAGTGCAGAACAGTTATATAGAGTCTGTAGTATGGGGAAAAACAAGCATCTGTGTACTCACGTGTGTTTGATTATGTATGTACAAACCGTCATGAGACTACACTAAAAAACTATTAACAGTGGTTGGAAAGAAACTGAAGCTGTAAAAGTAAGTCCATACTCTTTTCATATCAGGAGTTATTTTGCAATTTCAGAATCAGAGCTTCTAAACATTTTTAAGCATCAACACATGGCTTCAGAATTATAATAATTTGGAGATATCGCAAACAATTCTGGTTTCACTCTTTAAAGTGTCTCTTACCTAAGAAGTTCACATTTGTTTTAAGGTAGTATAAGAAAAAGGGAGCTCCTCCTCTTCCTAACCTATATCCCTAGAAAATGGTTCCACCACTCTTCAAAAAGTAATTCTTAGCATTAGGATCATCTTTTAATCAACTACATCTAAATTCCCAGTACACAATTCTAAGCTTTTTACACAAAGAGACTCAGAGCTGTTCTCCCCTTTTAGAGTGGATTTAGAGAATTATTTTCTTTTCTTCCTTTCTTTTCTTTTCTCTCTTTCTCCCTTTCATACAAAAGCAGTTCCCCAGGAGACCTGCAGAAGTCTCATCAACTTCTTAATTAAACCCTGAACCTCTATGGTTTGGATAGAAAAGCATCTGCCCACAAAATAACTAGATAAATGGCCTTGAAATCCTAGTGTAATTTTTCATCAGAGGACCTGTTTTATAATTTCTAAGATTTCTCAAAAGGTGAATTTTGTAAATTGTATGAGTTGTAAACATCTTCCATTAAGGATTACTCAGAAATACTCAGTTTAATTCACTGTTCTTTTCAAAGATAGCTGAATTCTGATCAAATCCATTCTTGAAATTAATTAAAAGGTGTGCATTTATGTTGTCCTGTATCTTGAAACATTTGAGAATATATTGTGAAAATTCTCCCTTGTTTTTGCTTTGTTTTATTGTACTAAACAGAAAGAAGAAGGAAAGCTTCAAGGACAGCTTAGCACGTCTGATTCTAACCAGTACATTAGGGAACTGAAAGATCAGATAGCAGAGCTGAATCATGAGGTAAGTGATAAGTTTTGATCTTCGCATATTTCTTTCTTCCTTCCTCTGTATTTGACAACACTGTACTATGGATTATAAGACTGAGTCTTTCATGCTGAATTTTATCGACAAATTCTTAACTAATACAACATTTCAGAAGATTGTCTTCTTTTTACCAAGACTCCTTCTGTTCTAATATTGAGGATTTGTTTCCTTATGTTTTAATTATGACCTAAAATGATAGATTAATATTTTTATGGCAAATGTTTTTTATTGTAGTTTAAAAACTCTGGATAGTTTGCCTGGGTATTTGCTTCAATTAAACCAAATTTTGTTATATATATGTATATATATATGTGTGTGTGTGTGTATATATATATATATATATATGTGTATATAGAATAGATTTGTGGTACTTACTCTTGTGGGTAGAAGAAAGTCTTTTTCTCTTGCCTTCTTTTTCCTCTCATGGTGGTATTACTGTGACTGCAAAAAAGGATACTTGCCTAATATCAGTTAACAGATTTCTTAGTATTTGGATGATTTTTAAACTGGATTACCTAGAATCTAAGAGATTCAACCCATGAAATTGTCAGAATTTTACTAAGTATTATTCAAATTTAAATTATTTGAACTAATGTGTTTTGACTAGAGTGGTACTTTTATTGATGTGGTTCTTGGTCAATTTCTTTGTTCTTTATTATTTTCTAGTGATAAATATCTGGCAACATGAATGAAAAAGTATGTTTCTCATTTTGAATTATTTGTGAGATAATGTTCATTCACAGTAATGAGGTATAAAAAAGTAGCATAAACTTGATTGTTTCAAAAAGAAAAAAGGAAAAGAAACTCATTCTGGCCGCTAAATGAACTTAAACCTCAAAGGAAAAAGTTTAGACATTACCCTTTCCTGGTATTACACCCTTCAGTTGAAGTCTTGAGTGTTTTGGGGTAATACCTCCTGGAAGTAACTCAATCTAAGAGTAAATTCCGATTGAAGAAGAAACAAAACATAAAAATAAATCTTATATGTAGTTGTTTATCTTGAAATATTAAGGATCATTCATGTAAATATTAATTTTTAGCCATGATAAATTGGAGTTCAGAATCTTATACATAATCCTTACCTATTTGTGTGCATTTTTGTGTTTTTACCTACGCTGTGTATAAAAGAACAGGTTACAAATAAGCATTTTCTGGAAATTCTTATTCTTTTGAAAACTCTAATAATTATTCTTGTGTTCAAAAGTTGTTCTCAGCTGGGCATGGTCGTTTACGCCTTTAATTTCAGCAATTCATGAACCCAAGCCAAGAAGATGGCAAGTTCAAGGGCAGCTTGGGAAGTTTATTAAGTGAGATATTAACTCAAAATAAAAATTAAAAAGGTCTAGGGCTGGGGATTTAGCTCATTAGTTTCGCTGCCTGCTGTGCAAGCTCAAGGACCCAAGTTTGATCCCCGATACCAAAAAACAAAAAAAAAACAAAATTAAAAAGGTCTCGTATGTAGTTTAGTGGTAGTGCACTTACCTAGAGGCCTGGAGTTTAATCTGTAGCACCCCTCTACACCCCTCCAAAAAAAAGTGTTCTCAAAGGTAACTGATTAAAATAAAGTAAGCTACCATTTAAATTTTTGAGGTCTAGTATTAGGGAGCTTTAATGTTGCTAAAAGAATTGTATCTTGATTGACTATTTTTTTTAACTAGGCAAAAAAATAAGTCAACAGATGTTAGTATTGTTTGCCACGTGTCTTGACTGAAAAGATTTTCCTCATTAAAATCAGCAGAAAATAATTCACATGAAGGCCAGGTGTGGTGGCACCCTCCTGTAATTCTAGCACTCAGAGGCCGAAGCAGGAAGATTGCTGCAAGTTCAAGATCAGCCTGGGCTACATAATGAGACCCTGTCTCAAAAAACAAAGAAAGAAGGCCGGGGCTTTAGCTCAGTGGTTCCGCTGCCTGCCTTGCAAGCACCAGGTCCCAAGTTTGATCCCCAATACCAAAAGGAAAAAAGAAAAAAAATTCACGTGAATTATTTTGGATTTTTAAAAATTATTTTGATTTTTTTTTTTTTAATGTGGGACTTGCGAAAGCAGTTACCTTTTACAAACATGAAAACTAATGAACAAGGTAAAATTTGCTACTGTGAAAGAGCCAGATTATGCAGATTAAAGACTAGAACAGTTTGTGATGAGATGCTAATTTTACAGTTAGGAGTAGCCAAAGTCCTGGGTTTGAGTAGGCCCCAGTCAGAAGTCATGGGAGAGAGCTAAGAAGAGTACAGTGCAGCTCCGTAACACACACATGTAAGTGAATGTGAATGAAAATATGGGATTAGGAATTTAGAGGAGCCAGATTCTACTGAAGGATTAATGTAACAAGTAGCAGAAAGGAAGAGTAGACTGGGTAGAATCATATTGTGGTGAATCTTTAAAGTTAGAAGAGATTGAATTAGTAAATTCTATACAGCTATTAAGGGTATATATTTGGGGATTCTTTTTCCTTATGTTTTCTGGAGATGTTTTAAAGTTTAATCACTAAAGGGAAGAAAAATGACAAATGAAAAGTTTTTTAAACCAGGATACTGGTTGTAGTAAACTTACTACTATTATAATTACTATTACATTGTCAGATCAGCTTTTTTAAGGAGGTTAAATACAGTGTCACCTTTTTATTCCATTATTTTCATACTTTGATACAGCATGTCACAATTTTTAAAAGCAATCAGAATCCATCTAATCTCAATTTAACCTTTGTCCATATGTTAGGATATAGCAGAATCTTTGATTTTCAGTATGAAAATTTACATTGAAATACAATACAGTGTTATATTTGAACAAGTGACTATTAATAGTCACTTTGTTAGCTGTTTTTTGTACTTCTCTAAATGTTTAAGGAATTGTTGAGAGAAACTTTGCAGATTCTTAAAGATACAGCAGTGTTGCATGTTTCAACAACATGACACCCTCAGCATAGTCAGCTGTATGAAGTACTGAAGATTAACTAGTCCGACACTTTGTGTTATTACTGACCCTGAGATATGCAGGGATGTGGAAACTGGCATGCACCTCATCTCTTTCCAACCATTATACAAGCAATAAATGGTTGGGCCAAGATGAGGATTGCCCTGTTCTTTTAGAACAAAAAAATGTCATCTGGTATCTAAAATCTTAGGGATGACAATACGAAGTATTTTAACTCTTGTTCCTCCCTGATACATAAATATGCATACATTCCATAAGGTCATTCTATAATTGACCTAGCCACAAGAACTCCCTGTCTCTCCCTGTTGGCATTGGAAATAGAGATTTAGCTTTACTTCTTGCTGTTTACTATGATCTATCCTAGTGCCTTATTTGAAGCCCTGCAATTCTTCACTACCCAACTAGCTTTCCTTCTAATTCTACCTACTTCCCATGGAAATTTTGAAATTTGGAGTCTGTTGCAACCTTGTCAAAACCTTTACAGAAGTTCTTGTATGGAAATTCTTGCTTTCCTAGACAAAGCAAGAGTTGAGGTTAAATCCTACCCTATTCCCTACCTCTTGTCCCCAGAGAAAAGAACCTGGGTCTCCAATTCAACCCACCTACCTTCCTGGCTATCATCAGAGTACCTACTGTATGCTAGGCACTGGATCTAGAACTAAGATAAAGATTGAAGCACAACTCTCAAGGGCCTCGAAGTCTACAGTGGAAATAGGTATATCAATAAACTATAATACATTGTGAAAAGAATAGTAGTATAGTGGCTATCATTTATTGTTCTGTGCCAGATACAGTACTGTTATACTTCTGTTATGCATTTCTTTAATCTTTGCAACGGTCCTTTGAAGAAGGTAGCATCGTTGTCATTCATATTTTAGATGTGATTAAACTTAGGTTCTAGGGAATTAAATGGCCCCCCACAGTCACACACTAGTCAATGACTGAGATGGGATTTTTTTTTTTTAATTCAGGCTATATGATTCCCAGTCCATGTACTGCAAACCCAGCCACTATATGCTATATGGCCTCTTTGGACATATACAAGTCTAAGATTCTAACAACATCTGGGCTGGGTGTTAAAAAAAGAGAAGAAATTTTTCGGGCAAATTGAGCATTTGAAGCACTTAAGTCAGAAACATGAAACATAATTATAGGTTCCAGGAATTAATAAGCCATCTACCTTTCCAACATAGTACTATCTTTTTACAGCTGCTGATCATTAAAAACACACAATTGTACATGCAGGAAAGGGAGATAAAAAGTAAGTGTTCTGGTTTAGAAGCCAACTTGGGAAATAAATCTTATGATTCAACCAAATCTACCAGTTAACTAGACTTTTCTGGGTCATTTGGAACTTTATCACTCACAGTATTATTTTATAGGAAAATGAATACTGACCAATTAATTTGAAAATGTTTTTGGAATACAGATGTTTTCATTATTTATTTATTTATTTATTTATTTATCTTTGGGGGGGATACTGGGGATTGAACTCATGATCTTGCACTTACAAGGCAGACACAGTGCCACTGAGCTAAATCCGCGGGCCCAGTTTTCATTTATTTTTAACGGTAATGTGATAATTGTAGTACTGTGGATATTCTAGGAATAAATTCATTCCACACAAAGAATAATTCACTTATACTAAAAATTGAAGCCAGGCATGGCAATGCAAGCCTGTAATCCCAGCACTCAGGAAGCTATAGCAGGAAGAGTGCCCAGAGATTGAGGCTAGCCTAGGCTGCATAGTGCATTCAAGGCCATCTTGGACTACATAGCAAGATCATGTCTCAAAAAACAGAGAGGGAGGGAGAGAGAGGGGGGAGGGAAAATAAAAGGGTTTCTCCATTGAACAGATTTGTTGAATTTTTTGTCTTCATAAAATAGTTTTAATGTGTTTAGTGTCCTCCTCACAGTTGCATAAAAGTAGTTGTAGTTCCATTAGCTAAGTAGCTTTTCTTTTTTTAAAAAAATTTTCTTTTATTGGTACATTTTAGGTATACAATATAATGACATTCATCACTGGAAATTTGCACCTGTA